AAGTTTAAGACTATCTGCAAACCGAAGCTCTCTACCAAAACTCCACTCTCTGTTTTTTATAAAATTTTACCAAAAAGTTGAAAATCTGGTATATCTCCATCAAAAGATCGACAACAATAATTGCTGCCAAAAAAGAAAGTTACATACAGGAGTATATGTCTACTTTGGGATAAAAATCGTATGAATCAGTTTTTTTAAGAGGTGGCAATATTTATCAAGATTGCTGAAGTTATTAACTTTGTCTAGAAGACAAGCACTAGCATGAAAATGTATTGCAGAATACCATGCCAAAGATCTGGTAGGACCACAAATGAAATTTTGAACTTGGATCTCTACTCAAAAATAGATATTGCATATATTCTAATATAGATATAAATAGCTAGCATAAAGTTTATTTAGTAGTACTATATAATTTTTACAATCTGGCACAGATTTAATAGTGCTATCTTTATTTTTTTTTTTTTTTTTTCTTTTTATATTTTTTTGGTTTTATTTGTTTTGGCAAATTAATTTTGGACATCGAGGTATCACCTCTATTTTTCTTTTGCTCTTTGATTTTGTGTTCATATTTTGTTTTGTAAAAAGAAAAATGATACTGATATGGTGTATAGTACTGGCTAATGATCAAAGGATTCATACCTCTAGGAAGTTAGGGGTCTGGAGGGAGGCAAATGGCTACTAGATAATATCATATCTGGGCTTTTAAGTTGAGTAAGTTACTTGTCGTGGTTAAATAAATAACTATAGTTAAAAATTCTTGTAATTTTTTTACTTGGTTAATATCTTAATAAAACAGTAGCAGGATATGCTAAAAAAAAAATTTTATTAAGAGAAACTTGCTTAGATTTTTGTATTAATGATCAAATAGTAGAAATTTGATTAGCTTCTTTATTTTGAAGATGATGATTCAAACTGCCTAAAGATTGAGTTTTACAAATTAATTTTTTATTACTTTTAATAATTTTTATTTTTTTAGTTGTTAAATCTTGAGTTTTTTGATAATAACTTTTGTAATATATTCTATAGCTTTTTTTGAAGATATAGAAATTATATCTCCTGTATACTTTCTTTCAAGATATCGCATAGTTTCAAATAACTTTAAAGTATAAAACTTTTGTAATTCTAGTATTTTTTATATATTTTGAAATATTTTTTCTTTTTTATTATACTTTAATTTAATAACTAGATATTAGACCTATCATTAAATAACAGGTTTACAGATTTTAACAATATATCTATTTATATAATTTAGTAATCACTTAAATATATATATACAAAAATTATTTTTTTGCTCAAATGAGGGTTATATATATTATAAATCTGATTTATCTTACAAACTATTTTATAGCTAGTCTATACAGTCTAATAAATATAAACCTATTTTACTACAGATATTTTGGCAGAAACAACTCATGAGTTAGACTGTGCAGATCAGACAACATGTTATCATTATATTTCTTTACATAAATATATATGTACATGCATATATATGAACATAGTAGAGATAGTTAGATAATAATTGCATGGCTTAGTCCATAAGTGCAATTGCATTTGGACTTATACTTTTATATAATTTTTTATATTGAACAAACTTATTATAAACTGGCAGGAAGGGCAATCAGAAAAGTCAAAATTTTAGACTAAATGAACGTTCATTTTGCATTCTGTATATTTGTTACTAACTGTGTTATAAACATAGAAATAAATAAGAAAAGTAAATAATAAGTAATAAATTTACTATCCTAATTGAGTATTACTAAACCCTGAATGTAATAAGAATAGTAAGCATGTTTATTTATAGTACTAGATTTGGTTTAATATATATATTAGTATCAAGATCATTCAATTCAAGAGACATATTATTGATTGTATCTATTTTAGTTAATTCGGAAGACATATAATTGGGTGAATTTAATTTAATATATTTTACATATTGATTTTGAAATTTAATTTCAATGCTAATTTATTGTAAGAAAGTATGAAAAAATCATAATTAGGATACCAATTTATATATGCATTAATGCATCAAGTTTGTACTATCAAAAAATATAAAAAAACTGATCCCTGCGTATTTTTTGAAGCTTTTGCAATTATGTGGTGCTTATTGAGTTTGTTATTACTATATATGCAAAAATCCAAACAATTAGATCATTTGCTTTATTTGTCAATTTGATTGTATTAAAAATTAAGCTTGCTAGCAAATTATATAGTGCATTATTAAGTGAAAACTAATTACTTTATTTATTTTATTTTGAACATTGCTACTCTATTAAAAAAAGTTTGGTTTAAAATTGTTCAGATTGTCGAACAGGGGTTTATTTTTATACTGTATTCATTATAATGTTTGTACCATGTTTGGATTATAGACACAAATAAGTTCTGTTTGATTTTGCTTAAAAAGAATTTTAAAAGCTGTTTATAAAAAATGTAAGTCAATATTCAAAGATTCAGGTTATACATATGTGTATATTAACTATAAAAATTATATAGCATTGCAACATAATGTAAAATGCAAGGATTGTTAACCACCATAGCTCGCCCACAAAAAATTTTCTGAACTATGATTTTTAGACACCTTTTGCGTTCTAATAAAAAAAAAAATCCTTGCGAAATTTTGATACTGTAAAAGCTATGCCTTTCTCTTGGCCTTACTTCTAATTTTAAAAACATGAATTATTGATTTAAATCTTTCGCATAATTTGAGTGTTTTGATTTTATGTTATATCGAATCCATCGATCTATTTTGTGGGCTAGCTACCAACAAATGCAAAGTTAATTAGAATATGTTCATTATGTTTCATTGTGCTAAATTATATAAGTTTTATACTAATTAACTTAAAAAATATTTCTTTTTAATCATAATATTCAGGCAGGACAGTGGTACAATAAGTAATCATGTGATTCGAGTCTAATTGACAAATGTGATTGCACAATAGTGCAAATGCTAATCTATTGGTGATCATGTGATATAAGACCAAACGAATATCTATTTTTTGTAATATAGATATCGTTTAAGATACTATGAATAATTGAAAGAAATTCTGGTTCAATTTGAGTAATTAACTTATGAATTTTACGAATTTGATCATTTTCTTGATATTTAAACCGCATATATACCATATAATACTATTGTTTCCAAGTTTTGGCATTATAATAAAATTTGCTTAAAAATATAACTAATCACTTAATTTTAAAGATAGAGTTGTAATATTTATATAAAACTCTTGTCAATGAATTGCTTAATAATATAAAAGAGTGAATTTTTCTGAAACTTCAAAATTTATCTCCGAAATGATAATCGACCATTAAATATTATAAATAAAATTTTACTGCGCTTGCAATAAAAGTGAAACAGTATGTTATTTTTAAAAAAGCTCTTTTTTATTTTAAAGTTCACAATAAGTTGTTTAAATTTATATAAAATTTTGTATAAATTAAATATACCAAATACAAGTTTATAAGCATTTAAAGTTTTATAAGAAAATATTAATAAGTAGACCGATTTTCTTTGTATTATATAAAATCATCAATTAGTAATCTTAATATTATACTTATTGAACCTAGCAGCTCACCAATTTTTTACAGACGATTCTCAATTTTGATTGGCTAACGATAACGATTTCTTGATTTTGATTAGCTAAAGCAACGATCAAAAATTTTGGCCCAAGTTACTCAAAATTTTATTAATGAAACCACAGCCGCATATTTAGTGAAAAATATTCTTGGGCTAATTTTACTATTGTGTGGCCTATTTCTCTAAAAATTTCTATTTTGGAAATAAAAAAGTTAAAAAGTTAATTCTAGCCAAAAATTATGTCACGTAATTCCTCAGACTACCGTGTATTCGTTGACTTTACTAATAGTCTTTATTTACTTGACTAATATATATAATGACTGGAGTATCGTACCAGATACTACTACCAATAGTAATATGCTCACTAAGATAACAGTTTATTCACTAAGAATAACTCCAAGAGATAATGAAAATGAAAGTTAGACATTTTCCTATTTGGATCGATGCCTTATATATTATTTCTAATCGCTATTGATTACTACATTGTTCATGCAATCGCTATTGATTACTACATTGTTCATGCAATCACTATTGATTACTATATTGTTTATACAATTACTATTTTAGACTTTTAACTAAATCATCATTCGATTAATTAAATCATGATATTCAATCAACATGTACCCAATCACTAGTCATATGGGTACCGCGTAGTATTGTGATATGAGCTAGAACCCCAGTAACTTCACCTGAAGTTACAACAACTCATATCCACTCTACCAAGTTTTCTTATTTCAAAGCAATTATCAAATACTGCACTAACCAATTTCTCTAAACTACACCCAGCTATTTGATCCAGGTACAATCATTTAAGAAATTCGATCTTTTCACCATTACACAACGCAGCATGACTCCAATTTACATTTCGATCCACAATCGTTGTAATGCCATATTTCTTGATTAAGTGGTATTTTGACTTTCGTAGCTATGCAGGATCCCTAATCTAATTACTCACAAATATCATTCGTTTTTTCATCCATTTCTTCATAAGAAAATTACTACAGCCGTTATTCAGAACTCTGCTATTATCATTCACTACTTTATTATCAGTTTCAGCTCTACAATCTGAGCTAGATCCTTTAGATACAACGTGCATTTTATCAAAGTCAACCACACTGCCTTCATCACCATGTATATGCTTTATTTCCATCTTATCAACATGATTCCAATTCCTTTTATTTATTGTATCAACATCATCTTTGTTGGCAAATTTTTGGCAATGAATAAATGCTTTACATTCATTCTTCTTGGTATCAATCTCAATAAATTTCAGTTCATATGATTCATCTCTTTTATCATTCGACTTCACAAGTAAGTTCTCCGAATTCATATCGTTTGCTTGGATTGACTTTTTTTGATTCAACTTATCAATAATCCTATTTTTCTTCTTATCGTTGATATCATCAATTTTCATCAATTCATCTTTGATACACATAACCACAAATTTGTTCTCTCTTTGATCATCATTCTTCATCATACTACCATTATCCATCACATATTTATCTAAGTCATTTTCATCAAAAATCATAAACGTTGCTTTTTTATAACCTGATTCGATAGTATAATAACATTGATCACCTTTGTATTGAATATTACACCTAGATCTTGCGATCTATGGCATTCCAAGAACAATATCAGAAGTCAACCTACGCACGATATAAAATGTTTGATATATACTAACACCACAAACTGTAACCTTAACATCAAGAATGCATCCAACGATCTCATAATCTGTATAGTCACCAGCGGTTCCATCCATATCCACATGCTTCCAGGTAAGGCCTTTTTTCTTTACATAACTCATGTTTATTTTGTTTATATATGAACTGGTCCTAACCGATGCTTGTACTGGTTGTTTATTTATTTTCACTGTTTTTTCATCATTATGTTCTCGACGTTCATGGCTCTTTTCTTCAATTTCTACATGGCATATATTCATACACTTAGTATTTGTACTATGATCACTAACACGATCTCTTATGGACGGACACGAACAAGCTAAGTGTTCTTTGCAACGACACAAGTAACACAAACGTGACCCACGTTTTCGCTGTTTTCTTTGAAATGTTTTCAGGTTCGAGACAACCTTTTTAACCACCATTTCCACAATGTCTTTCACCAACATTACTAAGTAATTCTCACGTTTCATCTTCAACTCCAATTCTGTTAAACCACGTTTAACTTGCCACCAGGGCACCTTAATTTACCAATTACGATTGGTATAACCTTCTTGATCTTGCACTTAGCAAGTATGACAATCTTCAACAAGTTTCTGCGAGTAGAACCTTCATTTGCCCAGGTCCTTGTATCACGTAATTCCTCGGACTACCGTGTATTCAATGACTTTACTAACGGTCTTTACTCACTTGGCTAATGTATATGACGACTGGAGTATCGTGCCAGATACTACCACCAATTGCAATATGCTCACTAAGATAACAGTTTATTCACTAAGAATAACTCCAAGAGATAACGAGAACGAAAGTTAGGCGCTTCCCCATTTGGATCGATGCCTTATGTATTATTTCTAATCGCTATTGATTACTACATTGTTCATGCAATCGCTATTGATTACTACATTGTTCATGCAATCACT